TTTGCACAAAAAGAAAGCAAAAGATAGAGAACAGTGTCATTTAGCTTTCATCATCATGTTTCTGGATCTGGATGGTAGATCCAAGAGAAGAGAGTTTGCCCTTTCACCCCACCACCATATCCCCAATTATCTCAGGCCCCAAAAACTGAAAAGGACCTCCTCTGGACCACATTTCCCCCCAGTTCCCCTAGCCCACAAACCCAACTTTTTCTTCAGCATGGGACAAACTTCTGATTTCCATCACATTTACCCAATTTTGGCCCAGTCAATCACTTTGGTGGACACTAATCTTTGGGGTCACTTGCAAATTCGTTGTTAAGTTCTAATCTCTTAACGAACTCGTCACTTTGTCTATCTTTGTTGAACGCTTTGTCTAACTTGTCAAGACTAGAGTGTGATAATCAGTTAGATTCGTAATAACTTCGACAACATAATTGCTAACTATCTTATATGACAGTCTCATTTAAACACATACCGAATCTAAAATTGAGTGTCATATTCATCAGAAATCAAAGTTTAGGTTGAACAAACGACTACAAAGATTTTAAAAAACTTGAGTGTCGTATTCGTCGGAAATCAAAGTTTAGTGAGTCTGCTGATAATTGACCCATTGTTGGGTCTAACTAAGTACTTAATGGGACTTTGCCATTCTCCCACAGACAATTACCTCAATCAAACCCCAAAATTAGGTTGCTACTACTAATCCAGCCATCTCATCAAAGATTGTGACAGAAACTTGATTTCATTTAATGGCTTGTTGCAGCAAATGGGCAGCTCCAGCGATTGCCAAACTACTGACCAGGATGGCTTTATTAGTAGCTCTGCAGGGAATTGCTTAGCCTGCTCCCTTCTTTCTCAGTGTTGGACCACAGCCCCATTTAAGGGGGAAGGTGATATCTCATCACTGATCTGATACATGTTTGGTAGATTGCTTGCACTTTGCTTCTTTGAGTGTTGGGATCCATTTACAGCTTTAGTTATTTACAAAAATGCAAATCCTTTGATCATTGTGATGGGGAATTCAGGAACTGTTCATTAACATTCCATACACAGCAGCTCTCAGCTTTTTCTCCCTCTGTTACTCTCACCTAATGTTCTTTAATAATTGCATAGCAAGTCAAAGAGTTTGGACCATAGTAGCTGTAGTTTTACACTGTCAAACCCACTTGTCCAAATCGTTAATAATACCAAACCGCATTTCCTTCAGCGACAGCTTAACCCTTCTGGTTTCTGTGTCCAAGAGAATGTCTGCTTGCAAATTAAGGCTGTTTTAACACACAAAGTTCCAATCTTTGTGAATTCTCTACTCGCTAAGTGCACCTAAACCATACAAAGTCTGAGCCTTTTGGATGTTCTGAAAAACCCATTTATCTTTGTTATGATCCTGCAAAGACCCTTCACAGAGAGACAGATTGAAAACATTGAACTTTTCTTTTACTTCTTTTCTTACTCCTTTATGACTCAGATACTTACAGAGATGAAAAATCATGCAAGCTTTAAATTCTGCATCTATTTGGCCCTATTGATGTGTACAAAACTGAGACTTCAAGCCTTCTAGGGAACTCCACTGAAGAAATTAACTAATATATGTACAAAAGGTACCTAAAACTGAATTCATATGGCATGACCTCGATGATTTGTGTACTTGGCTGAGTTTTAGTACCTCTGTCAAGGGACTTCATTGCTTCTTTCCCAAGTTCACTTGGTAGCTGCAGGCAAATCCAGTCCAGCAATGAGTCCAAGTCTTTTGCAAAGTCCAACAAATACCAATCCAACAGCTTTGGGATAGCAAACTTGTTGGCTGAAATCCCAATTGCTGCCTGCAAGTACTCTTTCTTCGCCGCCTCGAGCTCATTCTCGACTTGTGATGCTGTGTACACTCTCACCTTCATTCCAGAAAAGAAAAGATCACTATAGACAGTGGACTAACACATCAAAGGACTAATAATAGATGGTGATGGCTGACAGGAAACTTACAGCAGGAGAAGACCAACTTCCACAAGAAAGAGCAAATGTCACCAAAGGTTCAGATAACTCCAACCCGAATTTGCTCCTTGCTGTCATCTCATCGTTCTTCGACCCCTTCGATAATGCCTGAATGATCAAGAAAGAATGGTTTCTTCAAGGGTGTGGTAAATTTCTAAGTAAGGAACTGTGAGCTGTGTGCAATCACCCAGGTACTTACATATTTGGAGTGGTAAGGCAATCTGAGAATGAAGTGCTCAATGGTGATTGCAGTTAGAGAGTGCCCTCCAACATTTATTGTTGCCTAAATAAACAGCAAAGGGGAAACAAGTAACTTTCAGAAACCCAATTTTTTAATATAGCATTGTCACATGATGCCACCAGGCTTATGAATTTAGTTCTGCTGCAGAAAGAAAGTGACTAATGAATACTACTTATTTGGTCTCTCTTCATTGCATTACCTCTCTCATTACTTCAACAACCATCTCAGGGCTTTCTGGAATTCCATATTGCAGAAATGCCTGAAACAAGAAATTGGAAATTTAAAGCAAATTTAAGGTAAAAGAAACTTAAGAAATGGACCAAAGGGAAGAGGGTTTCATTTCCATACATTCATCATGCAGGAGTTGTAGATGTTGATCCAGAAGGCAAGTTTCTCCTGATGGGTTAACTTATCCAATTTCACAGCACCAAGTTTACCAAGCAGAAGCCTTTAGAAGGTGAACAAAAATCAAGTCAAATAAGAATCTGGCTGAAAAAAGGAAGCCAATTTGAAGGGTATTATTTCCAAAATGAGACTTACTTCAGTCTGTGGAGTAGAAACAAAGAGTTGGATGTTCTGTTGGGATTGATAGTGTCAGCGTCAATAGCAAACAAATGCTTGTACTGACCAACATCTCTCCTTCCAAAATCTGCCCATATACCATAAGGATCATTCTCACTGCTGTTGTGGTTCTTCCTCGTCGTCGTGCTCAACCTCGCGAAAATGCTTGACAAGCACTTCACAATGTCCTCCGAGACCTTGTTTGGATTGTCATCCACCAGCTGCAAAAACACAATTCAGACAAAACCCTTCTAAGTCGAATAGAAATTCGCCAAAAATGCTGATGAATTCTTGGTGAGCCAGCTTGATTTGATACCTTTAACTTCTGAGGATCCAGACGCTTCTCCGGTTTATGATCAATTGCGCTTCTTTTAACTGGTGTTCGGACCGTACTGGGAGCATTGTGAGCTGAAGATGACGAACCCCTCCCCTTTTTCTCTGCTGGATTGGAAGAACAACAACCCATTTCCTTCTCCTTCAACTGCTGTTTCTGCTGCTCGATCTTAGGCGGGACTGAAGGGTAGGAATCTGCAGAAGAACTTAGGTTCCTCTTGGAACTGGAAATGTTGACAGCTTCTTGGTACAAGTCCTGTCTGAAATGTACTACTTGTTCTTCTAATCGTACAACTTCCTCTTCCAAGACAGCAACTTCTGCTAGAAGCTCCAGCGTCTGCAACAGAACTAAAACACGGGGATCAGATTTACAGAAGAACGAATCGATGAAGAAGACGAAATTGGTAGTTTAAGGAGACTAACGGCAGGGGGAAGATAAGGAGGTAGGCGAGGCAGAGCTCCGAGTGGTCTATTGAATGCTCTCTCCAGAGCTCTGTGTACATTCTCTTCGAATCTCAGCTTCTTCTTCAGTTTATCAACCTGGTAAAAAAGTTTGAGAATTTCGGAAGTGGGGTAATCAGGAAATTAAGTCAATCAATCAAATTGAAGAAAATCGAACTGAACCCATATCCGTACATCTTGCTGGAGAGCCATTTTCTTGTCTCTGCTCGCTGAAGCTTTGCGGGAATTGGCTGAACTGTTAGTTCCATTGATAGAATAGCTCCCCTGCATTCCCGATCACAACAGGATTGAACGAAAGCCAATCAATAAGCTTCGACGAGAAGTGGTAATTGGGATGAAACAGAGGATTGTGATTTTTTCGCCCCCGCTATAGGAATGGTGATCGATTTGTTTCACTCTAGATTTGGATTTGGGAACCAAGGAAGGAAGCAAGACTTTGGATTCTATTATTGAGAAGAGCAAAAGAACAAAGGGCGTAATTTCATCATGATATCTCGGAGGAGCGTTTGCTTGGGCATTGGGAGTGAAGCCATGGATAAAAAAAAAACAGAGAGATGCAGGCGAAAAAGGCAATTGGGGGAGAGTTTTACAAATCCCAATACCTTCGGGAGAAGAAAAAAATTCAAGTAAAAGCAGGGGAGACTCTATACTGTACAGTAGAAACCGTTTTTCAAAAACAATTGATTGATTAAACAAAAATGGCAGTGGTAACAGACGGAAAACGTATCTGTTACGACGAAGCAAAAAACCCACCCAGTGGGACTTAATTATTTCTTTTCTCTGGGTTTCCTTACTTTTTCAAGCTTGGCTGGAGCTTTCATGGCGGAATGCCGAGTTGTACTGGATCGGCTACTCATCCTTGTCTGTTGTTTCCTTCTCCCAGCAAGATAGCACCCAGTTCCTTAAATCTGAAGGAGAACAAAACCCAATTCATGAAACACACCATTGACAATCCAGAAACGAACAATTTTCTTTCAAGCAGAGTATTGAATACACAGTTGCAGAACAGAGGATTGAGTGGAAAACAGAGAGGCACACACAAATATACCTTTATGATCTGAAAGTTCATTCCTTGTCGTCGGGTTGAGATAAACCGAAGTCGGGGACTACTACTAGACTAGCCTTGAATGCCAAAACGACGCCCTGGGTGCATTTAAAACGGGAGCTGAGTCAGACTCTGAATCAAGCGGCCCAGAGAAACAGAGAGCAGTTTCTCGATCACAGTGAACCGAATTCCCCCAAGCTCACGAAAGCTGCAGAGAGAGGGAGGGAGGGTTTGACCGCGGTTTAATGTTAAAATGGTTGTGCTTGGGAAATGGATGGAAGGGACTAGGGAGGAAGGAAAGGAAGAATCTTTATGTATATATATGACAGCAAAGAGAGAGAGAGAGAGAGAGAGAGAGAGAGAGAGAGTAAATTAAGGTGGGGAGTGGAGTAGTGGGATGGCGAAGATGGTGGTGGGAGCTGTGAAGGCGCGCAGGAACAGGGAAGAGGCCACCGCGATCCAAACGGCAACAACTATGATAAAACGGTGCCGTATCTTGTTGTGGCTTTGCGGTGGCCGGCGGCGGTGTTTGCCGTTGTGGCTCCGCTCCGCGTCATCATCAAGCAACGTGGCGCATCTTTTGCTCTTTTCCATTTCCTTTTTCCCTCTTTAGCCATCCATCGTCATTATTATTTACTGAAGCTTTAATTTCTTTCTTCCTAACAGATTTATTTTATTTTCGATGATTAATGTATAGTAACCTTTTAATTAATGATAAAGTGTTTTGCCGGTCTCGTCTGATTGAAAGTGCCAGGAAGGAGCTTTCATGCATGACATAATTATTGGATTGGACTGGTTTAATTAGACCACCTCCTAATTCTAATCCAATTCCCATTTTTTTGCTTGTAGTTTGATTGAGATGTGTAGCTCATGATGTATGTGCATTTGGTCTGTCAAGCCATAGTAGCTTGGCTGGACCTCAAGTCCTCAACTTATTTATAAATTGTTTTTATTGTCTTTAGAGTTGGTGTCGGAGTTAAAAATCTTAATGAAATTGACTGATTTGCACAGTGATAATTCGAAATGGAGACTAAGATCTTATCGACTATTTTTTTTCTAAATTTGTTATAATTTTACATTTAATTTTTTACCTATACTTCAAAATTGAGGGGACTATTAGCCTTTCATGCTTCAGCCTAGTTCCTAGAGTTGAGATGTTTGGCACTTTAAAATTTATTAGAATCTTTAAACTTACAAGTGCAATATCATAAAACCCAACTCATTTAAGAAATTCAAACGTGTTTATTTTATCCAATACTATTAATTACATGCATTACTTTCCTTGTTATAATGCAAAATTTACTAAAAAAAAGACTTTATTATAATAATATTGTTTGTGTTTCCTTAATTAATTAAGAGTCTATTTGGCGATGTTGTGTGTATCGGAAATGTGAAATCTATTTCTAAGTTTGGGATTTGACTTTCGATCTTGACTGAAGCTGATCATCACCACCAGGCAGAGACAGGCTAATAACACATGCTTGCCAACTAAACCCACTCTCTTTCACCTCATTTTAGAATTCTACCTATTTTTTGTAACATCGTTCTACTTAGAATAACTAGTCGTTTTGTTTGTTGTAATCATAGACGCGGAACCAAACTCTTTGATTTTGTCACAAGATGTTGGGGGCATAGCCGCGGCCCAAGAGGGTTGGGCTTACAGGGCCCAAGAGAGAGGTTGGGTCGACTAGGCCAAGCAGTGGAGACCGGCCCGATAGGCCCAAGGGGGCATGAGTGGAGTCGGCCCACTCGTCAAAGAGGAGCACCAGGCCAGGTGGGGCCCAGGCTCTGACACAGGGCGCATACGACAAAGAGTCGCAACAGGTAAAGAGGTACGGAGGAGGGACCATCTGACGTCATGCGCCTCAACCGTCTGAGTACGGAGTCAGGTGGTCGAGGCGCATGAGACCCGGTCGTACGATGCATTTAATGCGGGTCTGGCGACAAGCGGGAGACGGGGATGTTGGTCGGCCAGGCCCGGGGTATAAATAGGAGAGTTGGTGAACCTCATTTACTCAGGTTAGAACTTCTCTCTAGAATTACTATTCACTTCTCTCTCTAGAAACGGAAACTGACTTGGGCGTTGGAGTGCTAACGAGCCCCAATTTGGGCTCAAGTTAGTCGTGTTGTGTGTAGGGAAGGGCATACCGGGGAGTTGCGTGCGAAGAATCGGGGCGCATAGTTACTGCGCATCAACAATTGGCGCGCCAGGAAGGGGAAAGACACATACTACTAAACGAGTAAGGGGTCATGGAGGCACTAGGAGGAGTCGAAGGAGGGCCAGCGGCCGCGGAAGCATCCCGAGAGGCGCCCGCCTTGTCGGGAGAGGCGCATGCGGGGGTCGAGGACGAGGCGCAGGAGACGGCCCAGTCCGAGGGCGTCACCCTCACGAAGGAGCATCTGCTGCACATAATTGGAGAGCAGGAACAAGCGCTGGAGACACTCAGGAAAGAAGTGGAGAACTTGAGGAAGGGAACGGGGGTGGCGCCCCCCCCCCCCAGGTGGGAAGAGAAGGGACAGAGAGGAAGATGAAGAGGGGGCGTCCAGTGCACTGAAGCGCACGGAGGACTTGGGGCATCTGACGAAGCATATGGCCTCAGATTTTGATGAACACAACGGATGGGCGCATCGCCGTCATGGAAGAACATGGGGAGTAAGGCAGCCGCTCGCGAGGAGCATATTGGCCGAACAAGCGAACTCAGTCATCCCAGCGCTTCCTAGTTATGATGGGTCGACCGATCCGGAGGATCACCTAAACAACTAATTCACCAAGATGCAACTGTATATCAGCTCGGTCGCCAGCTTATGCCGCGCCTTTCCCTCCACGTTCACGGGCGTGGTCTTGGATTGGTACCATCAAATTGAGGAGGGGAGAATCGATGGGTTCGAGCAATTCGCTGCCCTATTCCTCTCAAAGTTTGCCAGCCGGAAGCGCCGGAGCCTCACTATCAGTGCGTTATTTAAAGTCAGGCAGCGTAAGGGCGAGGCGCTCCGTGACTTCTACGAGCGCTGGATGTCCGTGGCCATGGCGGTCAAGGACGTCAAGCCACCGGTACTAGGATGTTGCCTGGATGAGTGCACCACAAGTGAGGAGTTATGCCGAGCACTGTCAAAGCGGGACGTGGTGTCAACGGAGGATCTGGATCGAAGGGTGCAAAAGGTGATTATGCTGGAGGAGACGTTGTCGGCAAGGAGAATGGAGAGACGAGACGTGCGCCCCGAGGAGACTGAGGGAACCAGAGCGCAGCGCATGCCGCCCACCCCCATTCCACCTCCGTCTTACCAGGTGGGCGCAAGGCGCCCCGACCAACCGCGCTTTGCGCCCCGGGGAGGCGGAAATTTCACCGAGCTCAACGACTCGCTGAAAAACGTGTTGCAATTTGTGAAGGATAAGGGATTAAGGGGTACCATATCCGCTGGCCAGGGCCCATGAGAGGGCGCTCGAACGAGCAAAACCTTGATAGGTATTGCAAATTCCATCGTGAGCGGGGCCACCACACCGTTGACTGTTACCAACTCAAGGCCGAGATTCAAGGATTGGTGGACCGTGGGATGCTGAACGAGTTCGTAAGAAGGGGGGAAGAGAAGGCGTAGAGAACGTTCATGGAGCAGGAAGAAAGGTCGGAGGAGGCGCCTGGGAAGGCCAAGCACGAAGAGGAAGAGGCCCCCGCGGCAATAGAGGATCTACCCCCGCCCCCATTCAATATCGAACCTGAGGCGCACCCGGAACGCGTGAGGTTAACAATCGAAGCAATCTCGGGCACGATGGACCTAAGACAGAAGTTGGAAGAAGGGAGACGCCTGAAGTCGGCCACCGCCAGCGCTCGAGCAGCGGTGCAAATTCACTTCAACGAGGCCGCCGAGGAGGCATGCTGGGTGCCATCTGTGGAGGCGTTGGAGATAAGGGGGTTGTAGCCGGATGCGAGGTGAAGCGGATGTTGGTCGATACAAGGAGCTCCATGGACGTGTTGTTCAGGTCGACCTTCGAGAAAATGCAATTGTCTCCAAGCCTCGTCCGGCCGGCCGACTCAGTCTTGATTGGGTTCTCGGGAATACCGGCACGAGTCATCGGGCGCGTGCGTCTGCCCGTTACGCTAGGGGAAGAGGAACATCGTGTGACGCACACGGTGGAGTTCGGTATTGTGGACTGCCCCTCTCCTTACAACGCCATTTTGGGGCGCCCGTTGCTGGCTCTGTTCAACGGGATTGCGTCCTCATGCCACCAGGTCCTGAAGTTTATTAACCCAAAGGGGGTGGGAGTGTCGCGTGGAGAAGCGTCGCCGGAGGCGCGGCTCGCAAAGAGGGTGCGGATGTACAACATCGATGTGAGGCCGGAGGACACGCCAAGGGCGGAAGCCGCTGACACAGAGATCCAAGTTCCCCTGGATCCGGAGCGCCCCGAGCGATGTGTGCGAATATCCGCGCACATGACCGGCGAGGCGGCCGAGTCCCTGATGGAGATCCTGAAGGAATTCGCTGACCTGTTCGCATGGAGCGCCAAGGAAATGCCAGGAGTCAGGCCCGAGATTGCATTACACCGCCTGTCGGTGGAAAAGGGCGCACGCCCAGTTCAACAGAAGAGGAGGCCCCTTTCGGAGGAGAAGGAGGAGGCCCTGCGCAGGGAAGTTGGGAAACTGCTAGACGCCGCATTTGTGGAGGAGGCGCGGTACGTGACTTGGCTGTCGAATGTGGTGCTCGTGCCCAAGGCGGCTGGGGACTGGAGGATGTGTGTTGATTACACCAACCTGAATCGGGTATGCCCCATAGATGCCTACCTTATGCCACGCATTGACCAATTGGTGGATGCGACCGCGTATCATGAGGCGTTGAGTTTCCTTGACATGTTCTCAGGGTACCATCAGATCCTCATGTGCGAAGAGGACCGCGATAAAACCGCGTTCATAACTCCGTTTGGCAACTTCCGGTACCGGGTCATGTCGTTCGGCCTAAAAAATGCGGGCGCCACATACCAGCGTATGGTGAACACCGTGTTCCGGCAACAGATCGGGGGGAATGTGGAGGCATATGTGGACGACCTGGTAGTTAAAAGCAAGAGGAAGGAGGATCACTTGAAGGACCTCCGGGAAACTTTTGAGACGATGCGTGCTCATTCTCTGCGCCTCAACCCACTGAAATGCGTGTTCGGGGCGGAGGCCGGGAAATTCTTGGGCTTCATGATAACGAAAAGGGGAATCGAGGCTAACCCGAGGCAAGTGGAGGCGATCAGGCGCCTCCATCCCCCGAAGACGCCCAATGAAGTACAGGTCCTGAACGGGCGTCTGGCGGCGTTGGGACGGTTCATCCCCCGGTCGGCAGACAAAGGCGCTCCTTTCTTCAGAATTCTGAAAAAGGCCGCGCGCTTCCGATGGACAGAAGAATGCGACAAGGCATTCGAACAACTGAAGGATCTGTTGGTAACACCTGCAGTGATGACCGCGCCACGAAAAGGAGAGACTTTGTACCTATACATTGCAGTGTCGCGAACCGTCGTGAGTGCGGTCCTCATCTCTAGAGCGGGGCCGGACAGGGAAGAGCGCCCGGTGTATTACGTGAGCAAAGTCATGACAGGTCCTGAAACACGGTACGCGCCCATC